CTGAGTTTACACAGAAAAAAAGAAGGGTAGAGAGACCTTGTTTTCTGTATTTGCTGTTTCTCTTTGTTTTTTGTTTTGTTTAGGAAACCACCAACAGTTTTTTTTTTTTTCCCTCACAGGTTTTATTGAGACATAATTGATACATAATGTTCTATACATTTAAGGTGTACAATATGATGCTTTACGCACATATATTATGAAATGAGTACTACAATCAGCTTCGGAAACACACGTATCACTCCATATAGTCACCAATTTTTTTTGTTGTTGTTATGGTGTGAAAATATTTCAGATTTACTCTCTTAGCAACCAACTTGTATAGTAAATCCCCAGAACTTATTCATCTTATATATTTGTTATTTTACTTTTTAAAATTAATTTTATTAGAGTATGGTTACTTTACAATGTGGTGTTAGTTTCTACTGGACAGCAAAATGAATCAGCCACACATATACATAAATCCGCTTCCTTTTAGACTTCCTTCCCATCAGGTCACCACAGTGTACTAAGTTCCCTGTGCTATACCATACGTTCTCATTAGTTATCTGTTTTATACATATTCATCTTATAATTGGAAATTTGTACATGTGGCCAACATCTTCCCATTTTCCCTCCCCCTAGGCCTTGGCAACCATGATTCAACTCTTCGTTTCTGTGAATTTGGCTTTTTTAGATTCTACATAGAACTGAGATCATACAGTGTTTGTCTGTGTCTGGCTTATGCCAGGTTCACTGATGTTGTTGCAAATGACAAGGTTTCTTTCCTCTGTATACCTGAATAGTATTCCCTTGTTTATGTATCACACTTTTTTTATGCACTCATTTGTTTGATGGTTGACAGACACTTGGGTTGTGTCCATGTCTTGGTGTTTTGAATAACCATGCTATGAAAATAGGGTGCAGATATATTTGAGGTAGTGATTTCAAGTTACTTCTTAATTATTTTTAGCTCAAAATGCTTTTCATCTCAAACAGGTATATTTTGGGGTGACATATTCTGATTTGCTTCACTAGCAAGGGTCCTTGTTACTATTTCCTGAAGTACAAGTTTTATTTTTTATGCAGGAGATGTAAGAAACGTGGGTTTGATCCCTGGGTCAGAAAGATCCCCTGAAAAGAAAGTGCAACCCATTCCAGTATTCATGCTTGGGAAATCCCATGGACAGAAGAGCATGGCAGGTTACAGTGCATGGGGTTGCAAAAGAGTTGGAAATTATTTATTGACTAAACAACAACAACAATATGAGATTGCAGCCTTTGAAGGTCCCAGGTTTAGAAAGAAAACTTGTATCTAATCCTTTAGCTAGGTGGCCCCTGAACTTTATTGCTTGTTTCCAGTGCTTCATCACAACCATCAAAACAGAAAGTAAGGTTCCCCAAGATTATTAAAAACCCTCAGAATGAAAGTTAGTTTCTGTGGTTGATTTGCTCTCAGGGTTTTAATTTTCACTAAATTCTGAGTTTCCACAGTGTTTTTACCATTGTTTGTTTAGCAGTGCTTTCTCTAAACTGTATACACTATATCATAAAACTTCTTTGTTGTTAGTTTCAATGAAACTTCATAATTTCCCCTCCTTAGTTCCAGAAACAGAAGCCAAGCCCAATTTAAATTTCTTAATTTCTCCAAAGCGAACATATGTGCTTTTTTGCATGCTTTTTATGACTTAAAAATTTAATATAAAATCTTAAGGCAAACATGACTGAATGTTGGTGGTGGTTTAGTCACTAAGTCTTGTCCTACTCTTATGACCCCATGGACTATAGCTAGCCAGGATCCTTTGCCCACGAGATTCTCCAGGTAAGAATACTGGAGTGGGTTGCCATTTCTTTAATTCTGGGTGGTGCCTATTATACAAATTCAGGCAATAATTTAAAAACTTAAGTTGAACTAAGACATTCCTCAGCCCTTGATTGGCTAGGTAGAAAATAGTTTTCTTCATGTTATTTTATACTAATTTCCACCTAAATATGCTGTTCAACCCACTTCTTAATGCCCTTCATAAAACTCACAAAGAGTAATTGCCCTGAGAATAGAGAATAAAATGCAAAGTTATTACTAGTTATTACTCTGCTTCTCTCTCCACCGCATCTTATGTTCCTCATCTTCTCTATCATTCTACTTCCACCAAACCGGCTTTCCCTAGTCACCGACTCTTCTAACATCTACATGTTTGCATGTAGCATTTCATTTGCCAAGAATTCTGGTACCCTAAATGATTTGCCCAGACAACTTCTAGTCATTCTACAGGTTTCAACTCAGGCATAGAGTTCTTTTTCCCTAGAAGCCTTGTAAGTCTCCTTCAAATTCAACTATTTATTTTCTAAGTTTTGTGGCAATTAATGCCATATTCTTATGGCAAGGAATAATTCAACTTCTGTAAAACATGTCATATGCTTTATTAAATTTGTAGAGGAATTTTGAAGATTTGAGGGTGTATTTATTGATTTTTCAACTTTCACTTTGAAAATTTCAAGTATAGAATATTTTTTTTTCCATTTATTTTTACTGGTTGGAGGCTAATTACTTTACAATATTGTAGCGGTTTTTGTCATACACTGACATGAATCAGCCATGGAGTTACATGTATTCCCCATCCCGATCCCCTCTCCCACCTCCCTCTCCACCTGATTCCTCTGGGTCTTCCCAGTGCACCAGGCCTGAGCACTTGTCTCATGCATCCAGCCTGGGCTAGTGATCTGTTTCACCCTAGATAAAATACATGTTTTGATGCTGTTCTCTCAAAACATCCCACCCTCACCTTCTCCCACAGAGTCCAAAATTCTGTTCTGTACATCTGTGTCTCTTTTTCTGTTTTGCATATAGGGTTATCGTTACCATCTTTCTAAATTCCATATATATGCATTAGTATACTGTATTGGTGTTTATCTTTTTGGCTTACTTCACTCTGTATGATGGGCTCCAGTTTCATCCATCTCATTAGAACTGATTCAAATGAATTCTTTTTAATGGCTGAGTAATATTCCATGGTGTATATGTACCACAGCTTCCTCATCCATTCGTCTGCTGATGGGCATCTAAGTTGCTTCCATGTCCTGGCTATGATAAACAGTGCTGCGATGAACATTGGGGTACACATGTCTCTTTCAGATCTGGTTTCCTCGGTGTGTATGCCCAGAAGTGGGATTGCTGGGTCATATGGCAGTTCTATTTCCAGTTTTTTAAGAAATCTCCACACTGTTCTCCATAGGGGCTGTACTAGTTTGCATTCCCACCAATAGTGTAAGAGGGTTCCCTTTTCTCCACATCTTCTCCAGCATTTATTGCTTGTAGACTTTTGGATAGCAGCCATCCTGACTGGCGTGTAATGGTACCTCATTGTGGTTTTGATTTGCATTTCTCTGATAATGAGTGATGTTGAGCATCTTTTCATGGGTTTGTTAGCCATCTATATGTCTTCTTTGGAGAAATGTCTGTTTAGATCTTTGGCCCATTTTTTGATTGGGTCATTTATTTTTCTGGAATTGAGCTGGAGGAGTTGCTTGTATATTTTTGAGATTAATCCTTTGTCTGTTGCTTCGTTTGCTATTACTTTCTCCCAATCTGAGGGCTGTCTTTTCACCTTGCTTATAGTTTCCTTTGTTGTGCAAAAGCTTTTAAATTTCATTAGGTCCCATTTGTTTATTTTTGCTTTTATTTCCAATATTCTGGGAGGTGGGTCATAGAGGATCCTGCTGTGATTTGTGTCGGAGAGTGTTTTGCCTATGTTCTCCTCTAGGAGTTTTATAGTTTCTGGTCTTACATTTAGATCTTAAATCCATTTTGAGTTTATTTTTGTGTATGGTGTTAGAAAGTGTTCTAGTTTCATTCTTTTACAAGTGGTTGACCAGTTTTCCCAACACCACTTGTTAAAGAGGTTGTCTTTTTTCCATTGTATATTGTTGCCTCCTTTGTCGAAGATAAGGTGACCATAGGTTCATGGATTCATCTCTGGGCTTTTTATTCTGTTCCATGGATCTATATTTATGTCTTTGTGCCAGTACCATACTGTCTTGGTTACTGTGGCTTTGTAGTATAGTCTGAAGTCAGGCAGAGAATTGATTCCTCTAGTTTCATTCTTCTTCCTCAAGATTACTTTGGCTATTTGAGGTTTTTTGTATTTCCATACAAATTGTGAAATTATTTGTTCTAGCTCTGTGAAAAATACCGTTGGTAGCTTGATAGGGATTGCATTGAATCTATAGATTGCTTTGGGTAGTATAGCCATTTTGACAATATGTAAAGAATATTAAATGAAATCTCATATACCCTCCACCAAGCTTGAATCTTTTAAAACAAATTTTAAAAACCTTTTTATTATGGAAAATTTCAAACATACACAAAACTGGAAGAAATAGTGTAGCAAATCCCCATGGAGTTACCAATTAGCTTGAAAAATTTTCAGGACATGGCCAATCACATCTCATCTATATCATTATCTTGTTCCCTTTCCATTTTTTTAACCAGTAGATTCTTGTTGGTTATTTATTTTAAATATAGCAGTGTGTACATGTTAATCCTAAGCTCTCTAAGTATCCTTCCACTCTCAGGTAACCATAAATTCATTTTCTAGGTCTGTAATTCTGTTTCTAGTTTGTAGATAAGTTCATTTATATAATTTATTTTTTAGATTCCAAAAATAATCTATTTCATACAATAATTTTCTTTCTCTGTCTTCATTCAGTATGACAATCTCTAGGCCCATCTATGTTGCCACAAATGGTATTATTTTGCTCTTTTTTATGGCTGAGTACTACTCCATAGTATATGTGTACCTTTTTGTCTTTATCTATTAGCTTTTATTCCCTGCAAAAAAAATTTTTATATGTTATACATGGAAAAATTCAGTAACTAAATAGAATTTTCTTCTTTTCTTTAAGAAATGTGTGTGTTGAACACATTCTTGAACACAGGAAGAACTGTTCTTGTTGTGAGCTTTCTTTGAGAACAGAGAATGGCTTTTGAGTCTTTGAATACTTCATATTTTATTAACTATAATATTTTACACACTTCTCTGCATACAGATGTATGTGTTTGGAGTTAAGCAATTTTCTGTATAAGCTTTGAAACTTGAGCCATAGACTGCACAGGTTCCATTCTGCATTTCAACCATTGTTAGTCTAGATTAGAGAAAAGGACAGATTATATTCACAGCTTTATTAATGTAGAAATACAAACATGGAATAATATTTAAATATAGACACTGAAATAATATCATTTCAGGAGATTTTAGGACCATGTGTGTTCTTTCTTAGTTCATAGATATGCAAAATACAGCCAACTAAGATAATAACAATAAAAATTGCATTCTCTTATAAATTATGTCACTATTTTTTGTACATTAGAAATTAGTCAATTTGAAAAGTCTGAAATTTTTATCTATGTATGTAAGTCAAAATGAAAGCAAAAAAAATGAAATACTTAGAAATGAATTCAGAATTCAATTTAGAAGTTGGCAGATGTCTTGGTTTGTGCAAAAATAAACAATCTTCTTCAGATATATGCAATTTTACTTGGTAAAAAATATAAAAATAAACTGTGAAATCCTCTAATATACATATACAAGTGTGTGTGCGTATGTGTGTTTAGCTATTCCATGTGCATGCATGCTAAGTCATATCAGTCCTGTCTGACTCTTTACAAACCCATGAACTATAGCCCGCCAGGCTCCTCTGTCCATGAGATTCTCTAAGCAAGAATACTGGAGTGGGTTGCTGTGCTTTCCTCCTGGGGAGCTTCCCAACTCAGGGACTGAACCCGAGTCTCTTAAGTCTCCTGCATTGGCAGGCAAGTTTTTTACCAGTTGCACTACCTGGGAAGCCTGGTAGTCCATGTAGAGATTGCTATATCTGTATATCTATTTTGTCCCAGGATCTTGAATATTTTATAGTTATATAATTAATGTAATAAATGGTGATTTGTTTTCTACTAGGAACCAGTAGGAAATTGAAAGTTGAAGAAAGAGTAATGATCCTATATCAGTGTGAAATTGAGAAAATGAAAAGTACAAGGTTTGATAGTATATGTATTTAAAAAGACAAAAGAACAAACTTTGGTAATGTAGGAAAGACTAGCCATTCTAGGAAAAAAATTAAGAATTTTTTTTAGTAGCTGTTCTTAGTTGGTCTCAATCTATGTACATTAAAGCCTCAATTTTTCTCACATTTTTTCATATGCTTCTTCAATTTCCATGTTTGTTTCCCCAACCCACTCTCATCACATTTCATGAGGGTACTGATTACACTGGATTATACATTATTTATTTATAACTGTATCTCTGAAGTGTGAAGTTTTTGAAGACTCTAAGCCCTATTCATCTCTGTGGTTATTTCTGTGTAGTTCCTGGGAACCAAGTCACACTCAACAAATATTAATAATATGCAGAAACAGAACTTGGGTATGCTAGTTGTTTTGCTTTTAGCAAAAATGAAATTTTGTACTTGCAGCATGAAAAATATTGAAATGAGATGATACAAGGTCTTAGTATTTCCAGAGAGTAAAATCTTTTTTGTTAAAAGTAAAACCTTGGGTAACACAGAAATGAGGCCATCTCAGATCAATTCTAAGATGTACAAGGGGTTTCAAATTCCAAGAATATAACAAAGTCAGAAGATAGATAGTCCTTATTGCAATATTATACAAAATACAATATTACATTTCCTTCCAATTGATAAGGAAACTTACAGGTTGGGCGAGAGAATGGAGCCATCTTCCCACTGCCAGGAACCATTTGTGGAAACTTGTACTAGTCCCATCCAATGATATGACTTCACCAATCTAAAGAAATCCTGTTTGAAACCGCAAACAAAATCAGAATTCAGAATTTCATAAATGCAAGGCTATAGGCATTTAACCTTTTCCCCCCACACTTGGGGGAATGCATTCTCTCCACTAGCATAATTCTGACTTAATTCTGGAATTTCTGTGCTTTCTTATTTCTAACGCAGAAAGATTTGGGTTTGTTATATGTGAGTCTTAGTACCTCTCTTGTGTTTCAGGTTCACATTCCAGCGAGTCAGTTCATATCTTAAGGCTAAATATAGAAAGGGGAATTAAAACAAATACTCAACCTGTTCATCTCTGCTGTATATCTTCAGGAGACTGGAATTTTGAGACATACAAGAAGCTTGGCTCTGGTACCAGCTTTTGCTCTCATTAAAAAATTGGTAGCAGTTATTTCTATAACATATCCAGTTTTTAGGACATGGACCACAGTAATTTTCTAGAAAGGTAGAGTACATTGTTAATTCTGCATGTCTGCACATTATGTGTGTGTGCATGCTGTTTCTTCAGTCATGTCGGACTCTTTGTGACCCCATGGACTGTAGCCCGCCAGGCTCCTCTGTCCATGGGATTCTCTAGGCAAGAATACTAGAGTGAGTTGCCATGCCTTCCTCCAGGGATCTTCCTACCCCAGGGATCTAACCTGCATCTCTCTTATGTCTCCTGCATTGGCAGGTGGGTTCTTTACCACTAGTGCCGCCTGGTCTGAACATAAGAGCAGATTTTATCTGGACAGGTTAAATACCTTTTTTATTTCAACTCTAAAATTCAATATAATTAACTCATTATGATCCTGCCCAAGGACATATCTCTACTGATTTATACAGGGAGGGATGCCAAAATGATGTCCTTTACTTTTTACAAGTACCTCCTCATTATACATAAATACATCTACAGTGAATTATAGACAAGAATTCATCATTTTCATATTCACTTTCTTGTTCATGCCATCAGATATGTGCCTATACCCATGTATAGATGCATGCAGTTTGTGCATCAAAATATCAGAAAATTTTCACTTACCTTTCAAAGAAATTGGAGCTTCTTGGTTGAATAATGCTATTAAAACAATAGTTATTGAAAGAATTTATATTATTAGTAACTTATAGTCTAAGCAAAAATATAAGCTCAATAAAAAATGTACTCAATATTACTAGTTTATATTTCTGTGCCTCTGAATACTAGTCAAAGTAATGCATTACAATGGCCAAATCAATATTGCTGCTAATTACTTTCTCTATTATCACTTACGAGTTATGATCATGGCACTACATATTATTGCCATTCCAATGAAATGAATCCCCATAGCTATAGCAACGGATCTGGCAAGGACAAATGGAGATGCTGTCAAAGACAAAAAAAAAAAAAAGAGTGAGAAACATGAGAAAAGGTTCTGTTATCTTTCTGTTTAACTTAAATATTAGAAGTGTTTTTAATTGAGGGGTGAGGCTTGATATTAGTTTTTCTCTGTGATTATTTTTCTCAGGAAAGGTAAAACAAGTATTTTGTAAATTAATTAAAAATAAGGGTATAAAAATGTAATATCCATTCTTACTCCTTTCTTCAAGTTCCCTAGTCCTACTCCTCCATTAGAATAAATTTCAGTTATCATTTTAAAAATTTAAAAATTTTCACACAGATATAATAAGAAATGCAGACAGTTTCCTTCAACTCTCTTTTAAAAACACACGCTTAAGGAAGTACACAAAATATTCTGGAAACATTAAGAAAATATTCTGGTGATTATTCCATATCATGTCTTACAAAATTGTCAATTTTTTTTTAATTAGCTTCTTGCATTGTGTTTCATCAGTATATGAGCAAAATCTAATTATTGGCAGATGTTTATTTTTTTCCAGTACATAATTAAATGATTTCTTAGTTTTTGCTTTTAAATATAATGATATGAGTAATATTCACATATATCTGTGCATGTTTTTTGAGTACCTCCCTAGGAGAAATTAATTAAAGGGCACATGCTTTTTCAATTTTTATGATTGAACATTTCAGTCGAAATAAGCCACACCAATTTATGTAGCACCAAAAATAAATTCAAAAGCCTGTTTCTTCACACTTTCCTTCACACCAAATATTTCTATTTTGTTATATTTTAAGTGTATATATATATATATATACATATATATATATCTGATGCACAAATCTAACTTTGTTTTTCCTGTTATGAATGAGATTAAACATTTTTCCATGAGGTTAAACAATGCTTTTTTAAAAAAATTTCCCTGAGATGTCTATGTGTGGTCTGTTTCTTTTCAGGTTAAAATTATTAGTTCACTTCATGTCAGTGTTTTGCAAATACGTGTCCCAGATACCATTTTGTTTTAACTTTACCTATGATACTTTTGAGATGTCAAAATGGGTAATGGTTGACTTAATCAAACATTTCTTTATGACTTATGCTTTTTCTGATATGATTAAAAGTGTCTTAATTATTCTGAGTTTATAAAATATGTTATGCCCATGTTCCTTTGTGATATTTTGTGGTTTCCTTTTGCATTTGGTTTATTTGGTAGGGGTGTGTGTGTGTGTGTCTGTTACTGTCATGTGGGAGCTAAACTTATAAAAAATCTATTTTCCAAGTGGACACTGGCTTTTTGTAACATATTTGCTCAATAAATCAATGTGTTCTCATTGATATGAAACATACCTTTAACATATAATATATTCCAATTTGTACCTGCACTTATTCCTATACTTTTTAGTCTATGTTTCCATTTAAACAATATGTAAAATTTTCTAATATGTAAAATACTTGAGTATTTGTTAGTGCACACAATATAATATTATATTTTATTTTTCAGATGATTTTCCCTATCGTTACATTTCATATGTGCCTTGTGCTTAGTCGCTCAGTCGTGTCAGACTCTGCAATGCCATGGACTGTAGCCCACCAGGCTCCTCTGTCCATGGGGATTCTCCAGGCAAGAATACTAGAGTGAGTTGACATGCCCTCCTCCAGGAAATCTTCCCAACCCAGGGACTGAACCCAGGTCTTCCCCATTAGCAGGCTGATTCTTTACTGTCTGAGCCACTAGTGAAGCCCCATCCTTAAGAATTTTAATATCAGCTTTCCAAGAACCTGTCAGTTTAAAAATATGATACAATGGTTTTTCCATAGAATTACACTAAATGTATAAATTCAGTTCAGTTCATTCACTCAGTCGTGTCTGATTCTTTGTGATCCCATGAACTACATGCAGCATGCCAGGCTTCCCTGTCCATCACCAACACCAGAAGCTTTCTCACACTCAAGTGCATCCAGTTGGTGATGCCATGCAACCATCTCATCTTCTGTCATCCCCTTCTCCTTTAACACAGAGATAATTTACGTTTTTAAAATGTCTTTTATCCTTGAACAGTTTCTGTTTCTATAACACATGTCTTATTTTATGTTCACCAGTACAATTTTAAATGAGTAAGTTTATTTCTAGGATTTTCACTTTAAAAGTATGCTGCTATTCTTTTCTGATATTTTGTTTTATGCATATGGCATTTGTTTTTCATCACATTTTCCTTGTTTTGTAGTTAGTAAGGTAATTGATTTTGTCTTATTTTCGATCAAGTCCACTTACTAGATATCCTTATTGTTTGTAATATTTTAGGTGAAGGCTTAAAAAATATTTTTTTCAAATAATATTAATTTTGCCTTTTAACTCCAATTTTATAACATTTACCTCTTTCTTTTCTTGTTAACTCATGCTAACACCAGCAAAACAATCAATATTATTCAACAGTAATAATAATGAAAATTCTTCTCTTTTTCTAACTACAGTGAAAATGCTGCTGCCATTTAGCAATAAGCATAATGGTAGCTTTAGAAAAAAAATACATCAAAGGCAGTACTTATATTTTAGAGGTTTCTAAAATTAAGTTCTTTTTAATTAAAAATTCATGTCAATTTTTATCTGAAACCTTTTTAGCATTATGTATACATTCATACAATCTTTCCACTTTAATTATTACATAGTGCACAGTTTCATTCCTATAATTAATCATTGTAAAATGATGTTATTTGATAATATATTTTTTACATTTAATCAAAATTTATAGGTGAGAGTAACCTGTTGTTTTTCCTTTTGTGTAAGCTATCTCAGGCTTTATTTTTCACCATATTCCAGATTGGTTAAGAGAGCATACCTTCTTCACCACCCAGAAACATTTCTGTGAATAGTGGTCAAGTCATCTCCTCCATAATGTTTAAGGACATAACTGAACTGAAGGAAATTTGATAGTTCCCTTCTGTTTTCCATTTCTATTTACTTCTCCTTAAGGCTAGATTTTCATGGCTTCCCAGGTGGCTCAGTGATAAAGAATATGTTTGCCAATGCAGGAGACTCAGGTTTGATCCCTGGCTTAGGAAGATCCCCTGGACTCCCGGAGCAACCCACTCCAGTATTCTTCACCAGAAAATTCCATGGACAGAAGTACCTGGCAGGCTATAGTCCATGGGGTTGCAAAGAGTGACTGAACACACACACACAAGTCTAGTTGTTCAGCAATCCCTTAGAAATTACTGTCTTCATTATTATGATAATTTCATCATTTTTTAGGGCATGAAAAGATTCTAAACACAACAGTTTCTGCTAAATTTTATTATATATTCCAATAACACATGAGCTACCAGAGAAGACCATATAGCATATGAGAAAGAATCTCATATCTGCTTTCTTCATGAAGGTAAAATAAACTGAATGCTTATCATCAATTTAGTCACAGTTTCTAAGATTCACCTCAGTACACTGAGAGAGACAAATGAAACATAAGACTTACGGTTTTGTCCACGTTGACTTGTGGTTAATATACATGTTCTCTTTTGGCATTGTCTAGAAGCACCAGACTTTACTCGTTCACTGGCATAAGTATGAGATTCACTCATCTCTGGAGAAAAACAGTTCAAGCCACTATGTCATGGTCTTTCTGCCACTCAGCTCATAAATGTTAAAATTTAAGTTGGCATTTCCATCCATATCCATTTTAAAGCATAACATCAAATTACTTTTATTTTGTATTACCTTATGATTTTTATGCTTTGTGATATAAACAAATGCTGGGCTTAATGAAGCCCAAGCTGGAATCAAGATTGCCGGGAGAAATATCAATAACCTCAGATAGGCAGATGACACCACCCTTATGGCAGACAGTGAAGAAGAACTAAAGAGCTTCTTGATGAAAGTGAAAGAGGAGAGTGAAAAAGTTGGCTTAATGCTTAACATTCAGAAAACAAAGAACATGGCATCCGGTCCCATCACTTCATGGGAAATAGATGGAAAAGCAGTGGAAACAGTGGCAGACTTTAATTTTGGGGGCTCCAAAATCACTGCAGATTGTGACTGCAGCCATGAAATTAAAAAAAGTTTACTCCTTGGGAGAAAAGTTATGACCAACCTAGACAGCATATTAAAAAGCAGAGACATTACTTTGCCAACAAAGGTCTGTCTAGTCAAGGCTATGGTTTTTCCAGTGGTCATGTATGGATGTGAGAGTTGGACTATAAAGAAAGCTGAGCACCAAAGAATTGATGCTTTTGAACTCTGGTGTTGGAGAAGACTCCTGAGAGCCCCTTGGACTGCAAGGAGATCCAACCAGTCCATCCTAAAGGAAATCAGTCATGGATATTCATTGGAAGGACTGATGCTGAAGCTGAAACTCCAATACTTTGGCCACCTGATGCGAATAGCTGACTCATTTGAAAAGACTGATGCTGGGAAAGATTGAAGTCGGGAGGAGAAGACAGAGGATGAGATGGTTGGATGGTATCACTGAATCAATGGGCATGAGTTTGAGTAAACTCTGGGAGTTGGTGATGGACAGCGAGGCCTGGCGTGCTGCAGTCCATCGGGTCGCAAAGAGTTGGACCCAACTGAGCAGCTGAACTGAACTGAACTGATATAAACAAAAGTACATTTATGCTATGGCAAAATATCTCTAGCAAGATCTTATGTACTATTAAAGTGCTAATGTATTGTAATGAAATATAACATCAAAATAAAACAGTATATCATGAAAAAGACTGGTTTCTAAGGAGTTACACATTTGTTTGATTCACAGAGCCACATTTACCAAGTTAATAACCTCACAAATTGCAAGAAGAAAGAAAAAGAAAAGGGGAGGGGTTTGGATGAAGGAAGACAAAGAATATTAACACAGTCTGGTGTGGATCTTTTAAAAAGTTAAAGTAAATAATACGCATCTAGTGTCAATAATGTGAATTTGGTAGTAAAGAGTATATAGTAGTGTATCTAATGTTCTTTATAGTGAAGAACTTACAAAGAATAAAATAGGGTCTAAAATTTTAGGATAAAGATAAGCAAAGACTCTTGCCTCTGAACAAAACAAGTGAAAAATCATTTTTTCTTTCTTTTTGAATAGTAATCATTACTGAATATGTAAAAGCCTCTTTATAAATGAAATGCTAATATGAATTACCTTTTACACCTAAAATTAAACTAAAGCATTATTTTCTCAGATGGTAAAGAATCTGCCTGCAATGAGGGAGAACTGGGTTTGATCCCTGGGTCAAGAAGATCCCCTGGAGAAGAAAATGGCAACCTGCTTCAGTATTCCTGCCTGCAGAATTCCATGGAGAGTGGATTCTGGTGGGCTACAGTCCACAGGGTCACAAAGAGTCAGACATGAATGAACGATAAAGACTTTCACATAGTATGTAATGTAGCAAACTTTATTATTAAATGTGTGAATAAGGTAAGAATATTTTATGGTTGAAGAAATTAAATTTTAGAGGTGGTCAAAGTCATACTGCTTACTTAATATAGTGTTACCACTTATAAGTAATTTATAATACTTTAGTTTAAGAAGCATTTTCAAATTTATGTCACTTGAATTGAATATCACAGAGATCCACTAAGGTAAATATGAAATGTTTTTTATCTCTATTTACTAGAAAAGGAAACTTAAGTCCATAGAGTTGTGGAGTGTCCCAGATATCAAAGCTAGAGACTGGTAAAAGCCTGATTAAAATTCATTTCTAACTCCAAATCCTAAAGCTGTTATTATTTTAGGCTGCCTCAGATTGTGAGATACATTACTTTGTTAGTTAATGAAGAGGAGAAAAAGCTTTCAAGTTTTTGAAGCCTTGATTTAAAATATAATATGAACATAAGTGATTCAAAGTTAATTGCTTTTCTGTGACTTATATGTTTGATCAAATTCTGGGTATTTTAAAATTGTTCAGAAAGAGTAAACTTCATTTATACAGAAAGTATGTACCGCTGCCATGATGAACCCACCTATCTCAGACCAATCCCACTGTATAATTATGACTGCTTATTTATATCAAAGATGAATTCAGAGTATTCATTTTTTAGAAAGGGTTCCTGAATAAAATAAAAATGGGATTTTTTTTTCTAGTTTTGTCTCCTTGTGGTAAGTTGATATATTTACATTAGAAAAGTGAGAATACAGAAAAGGTTCGTGCATGCAGATATTAAAAAAAGGAAAGAATGGAAATGAGAATTCATATAAAATCAAGTAGCATTAACCTTTAAATTTTCCCTTACTAGAAAATAAAAAAATAATCATTTAAAACTGTTAAGAAATGTAATAGTTGCTTTTAATTCACCTACACTAGCATATAGCGGTAACTGCTTTCTTTGCAAGGTAAATCTGGGTAGGATATATAAACTTTTATTGAATGATTTTTCCTAGTATGCTTTATTTGAGCTTCTGTCCATATCATTGCCATCATTTACAACTTATCACCATCATCATCATTAACAAAACTAATCTCACATTTGTTTACATATTAATATTTTAACATTGTCTAGCATAGCTCTCAGACAAAATGTGTTGAATAAGTATGCATAATACTTAGATTTTTTTAAAAAAAGTTGCTTTGTATTTGATCATGATTGTTGGAAACAATGAAAATAATTTGTTTCCTTTTAGCAAGTAATATTGTATGTCACAGAGGGTAAGTGACTTGCACAAGAGTAGAAAACTCGTGCGTGAAATTTTAAATTGAAATTCAGTTCTCTAGTCCCAAAAGTAAAGATTTATTCTTTTAGCTTTATTTGAAGACTTCATCTTATAGCAACACCGTAACTTCTGATTCTTCAATAAGTATATCCTACTTATCCATCATTAAATAAAGTGAAAAATAATATACCCCTGAAGTAATAAGTATTCCTTGCCTTCAGTAAGTCAGTTCAAACACTTAAGGAACAACTAGAATTACCTTACAACATAAATATTTTTAGAAACTTTCTTGAGGTTAAAACCTCAAGAGTTCTTATTTCTTGAACAACAGCTGTTAGAAACACACAGAGCGACGCACACAGACACACACCTGATCAGAGAAAGAAGATCCTGATCCTTGTGGATAAGAGTCTCCTGAAAAAAAAAGACATGTCCCGACTTCCCCATTTAAAAATGACACTAGTGATTTCCAGTCAATTTTTATCCCTGAAGAAAGATATGATAGGTGTTTTTCTCATCTCATCTTTCTGTTGAAAAAGCACCACACAAACCACAGTACTTCCGCCTCTCATTGCACAGAATATTTCCCTTTTTGATGGAATAAATGTTAGGTTCTAACATTTTATAACTTAAAAATGGTAAATTCAGTGATAACAAATATCCAGAGTTTTAAGAAACAAATGATGGTATAACAGAATCACTTTCTGAATTTTTTCCAAAAGTGAATAATTTGTTATAAAACATGGTTGCAAGTAGTGGGTGGAAGAAACAAGGAGAAAAAATTAAACTTCTTAATCATTTCATTTGAGTGGACTTAACTGTGCTGTATCATATAAACTGAAACCACAGAGAGAGCTTTCATATATACACTACTAATATGTACATACATATATAGGTATATATACCTAAACATGTATGTGTATATATACATACGTGTGTACATGTTGTTAGTGGTGTTCAGTCCCTAAGTTGTGTCTGACTCTTTGCAACTCTTTGCAATGAACTGAAGCACACCACTCTCTTCTGTCCTCCACTATCCCCCAAGTTTGCTTAAATTCATGCCAATTGAGTCGATGATGCTATCTAACCATCTCATTTTCTGCCACCCAATTCTTTTGCCTTCCATCTTTCCCAGCATCAGATTCTTTTCCAATGAGTCAGTTCTTCACATCAGGTGGCCAAAGTATTGGAGCTTCAACTTCAGCAACAGCCTTCCAATGAATATTCAGGGTTGGTTTGATCTCCTTGTGGACCAAAAGACTTGTAAGAGTCTTCTCCAGCATCACAGTTTGAAAGCATCAATTCTTCAGTGCTCAGCCTTCTTTATGATCCAACTCTCACATCTGTACATGACTACTGGAGGAACCATAGCTTTGATTATACGGACATTTGTATGTATGCATACCCATGACTTTTTAATAATGAAAATAGTAAGTGTATACAAAATAAAAATTCTAGGATGAATCATCATATGCCTAGTGTAAATAATTATCAACTTACATCCCAAATTTCATTTTCTATGTATGTGAGTGACTCAGCTTTATCTCTGCTCATAAGTAGGGCTCTTTTCTCTTTTTTCCTTCTGAACACCACTCATTGTATAACTGCTTCTCTGTTGCTCAGAACAATAGCACCAAATCTCTTGGCAGAGTAGCAACAAAAATCAACTAATTTGATGCTAATGCTCTGGTTTTTAGCTATTTATAACTTCTGTTATAAATTATAAATTTATATTTAAGAAATGATGACATTTCATTTCATTAACAAATAATGACGATCAAAGTGTGACATTCAAAAGTTTAAAGAGATTGAATGACTAAATGTAATAAACATTAGATGGTGTCCTGGATAGAATAATGGAACAGAAAATAGACATTAAGTAAAAACTAAAGAAATATGAATAAAGTAGTTTCTTTAATATCAACATCAGTTCATTTGTTGTG